TATATTCTTGGCAAGTTGAGGTCCGTCGGTAATCTTTTAAGTTAAATTCTTCATATTAGAAACACATGGCGGACATGCAAAAACATATCGTTAGACCAATGAAGATAACAGTCTAAACTACCAGGAAAAATAGATGATTTTATCTTATTTTATCCGTAGTATGAAATATCTAAAGATATGAATGTGATGACTGCATGGCACTATGATCAACACGATATACAAATGAAAGAATGTTATTAATTGTGCTTAGAAGGAGGCAATTCCTTGAGAAAGACACTTTTACTTTTTCCAAATTTATTCCTAAGGGTCTTTCTCCCGGAATCTCCTTTTAAGCACTATATCTTTTACGACATAATTTGCTTTAATATATAACTATATGATAAACAGAATATTACATGGTCGCTTGGAGATACGAATTTATCTTCAACACTCGAAGATAAAATCCGCCCAGGTAATATCCTCTATATTGAATCGATTAAATTATGTCTCGTAACACATCATACAAGTGTAATCAGTGTTAATTCTCGAATAGATCCTGACCCTAATGGCCGAATAATTATGTAGCAAGATAACATTTTGAATACAGAGTTTCGCGTTATTTGATTGGTTCTGAGCATTGAATTTTAAATTAGCAGACAAAATTCTTCCCAATTGTTGAGAAAACGCCATGTCCATATAAACATTCAAAATTCTAATTTTAAACATTGATGAGGATTATAAACCTGAATTCATTAAAAAGGTTTTAATTTAACAGAAAAAAAGCAGTTGAAATTTCAGCAAACTTACCAGGATTTCTCTAGCTTGATTATCCGCCATTTTCCTCCGTTTTTTTCGTAACTGAAAAAGCACAAAACGAGCCATGTTGATAATATAATTCCAGATGAAACGCGACTATAAATCAGGTAGCCAACTATCTCTTCACAGCTGCACAGATGTCACAGTTTTATTGAATGAAACGAGCAAAGTCTACTTGTGACCAACGTGCCTATCGGCGTAATGAATGCCAACTGCGAAAGCTCTTCCTTGTGACCCCATTTTGCCTCCATGAAAGTCGCGGTAATTTCCAACGGTACTCACACAGCCTGAGGCGAAWAATTGTTTTTCTATACTTTAGCACTTGAATATCAGATTAAAACCGGCTAAGTTGGTAAATTTCGCCGCACGACGTGACAAAATCGGGTCACAACGAACTTAATCACCTCGCGCGTTATTTATTTATTTATTATTTTCTTATTTTTTTTATTTTATTTTTTTTTTATTTTTATTTTTTTCATTATTTTTTTTTATTATTATTTTCACTTTGGTACAAAGCTGCGAAATAACTTCTTAACAATGGGCAATGTGCAGCGATGCGATTTTGTGCAGCAAAAGTTGCAGTACTTGTTGCAGTACTTGTCCTTATTACAGACACTAAAAATTCTCTTAAGATCCGTTTTTACGTTTTCTTAGTAGAAATTGACTTTTTTATTATAAATATACCAGGTTTCTTGGCAGTGAAAATGCTGGAGCCAACACTGTTTACGCCATGGACCAACCAGAACAAGTGCACGTCAATRCAGGATATGTCAGTCATGAAGGGCGTGACGTCATGTTTTGTCCAGGTAAAACTTCATCACCCTCCAACCTTTACATTTGAGACAACAGTCCTTTTGCATGAAACGGTCACATGGTACTAAATCCGCGATACTGGATGATAAACGAATGCAAACCACCTGAAAAACAAAAGGAATGTAGCCCGTCAAGCTTAACTTTTCTTTGTTTTGAACATCCCAGTGGGAATTTTGTCATCCAGAATGGCCGTGTGACAGTTTCATTCAAAAGGCCTATTGAAAGATCGTTGTCATTAGTTACTATGCTGTTGTGCTAAGTAGTATGAGCTTATTGACTTAGTGGGAGGGCCGTACGGGAAAATATTTGGCTCGAGGTTATGCCGCACGGACAAATGACCGAGAGCCGAATATTTTCCCGTACGGTCCTCCCACTAAGTCAATAAGCACTTTATCATATGACAGCGTTTTTAATGTAAACAAATAATAATAAAAGCGCGCGGAACTTCAACCCGGAAAGATACGGGTTTGTACGGCCCTGTCGCGAAAAGGCTTGCGGCCCCCATCACGTGACCATTTCCCGAAGGTTTTTTAAGAGCGCGCGTAGGGCCGAAATACTGGTCATGCTTCTCAACACTATTGTAGGCCAGTACTGACTGGATTTGTATTTATTGTTTATAGAACAAAAATATGACGCAGTTGGACAATACACAGTAGAGTAAGTACTTCAGATAATACAGCAGATTTTGCGTGACTGTTCAAAGGCACGGATCACGCTACAAGCATGGTCACGCAACGTTGCCTGGTAGTGATAGCTGATGAAAATACTGGATATAGAAATAAAGAAAGGTTATAGTGCTTAGATGGAGGTTATTCCGAAAATATTGGATTCAAGAATGCATCACCGCCCGATACGTGTAGTTTAATAACAACAATGTCTTTCGGATACAGGATAGCAGTATATTCAGTATTCAACATTCAAATAGCCATCCATAAACACTTGAAAAAATCGCGCGCTTTAAAGGCTGTAAATTTGATGTAAATATGATGTAAGTGTCCAAAATTATGTAAATTTTATGGAAATCATTTACATCAAATTTACAGAATTTTGGACACTTACATCATATTTACATCAAATTTACAACGTTTAAAGCGCGCGATTTTTTCCAGTGAAAGACCTTCAATCTTACACATTTTTGTTGCAGACCAATAAATATTCCCCTCTCAAAACGGCAAGAACCACTTACCCTCACCCCACCCCGGTCAGTAGGATCAGATTCACCTATGGACGATCAAGGTAAGATCGGWTGTATATCAGCCCCCAGGGGTGCCGCGGTCAAAAGGTATCCCATTGACTGGCCTTRATATTTCCATTGACAAAAAAAATGAATTTGTATGTAATTTCGTTTCCAGGAATTGCCGTCCACATGGGACCAGACACCACTATCGATGTGGCGAAGTATGCAAGTATCTTTGGTAACCATTCGTTACTAAGCAACGGTCTAGAAGACCCTATGAATGATTCACCAATATACGTTATACATTCCTCAAGGTAAKCGATATTCTACAAGAAGAAAGATTAAATCAGAAAACAGTTTAAAATAAAAGTTTCGATTTGAAAGGGATATGGTCCACCCAGCATCCCTTTCGAGCTTTTGCTCATGTTTGAAAATAGAAAAAAAATCGTAATATAAGCAAAACTTACTCTACAATATTCCTTTATATGAATGGAGATACTGTAAGATTCGACCTTGAAACCGATTGATGGAAACAGATTGCGATATGAAAAATCTAAAACACGACCGCATTGAATGCTGGTGGACTATGGCCCTTTAAGTTAGATTGAAAACACTTATTAAGCTCAAACAATTTTGTAGATACACCGTATGCACAGGTTTGTACAACTATACCCTAACAAGTTCTCAATACAAAATCTTTCTTGCGTACACAGGGAGCCCGAACCAAGACGAAAGAGAAGAAAAACCGAACCAGATGCCATGATATCCGACTCTCCATCTGGCATGACAGCAATCAAGAGTGAACCATGTAGCCTTAGTGACGATGTGTTTATTGACACTGACAGTAGTACAAGTAGCYTATGCAATGAAATGCCGTCTCCAGATGGTGACGTCACGTCGTACCAGTGTTTGAAATGGTCGCAGTTTAAGAAAAACCATTGGCRAAGCCTCTATGACGAAAACCAAGAAGTTGTGTGAGTAAAACGTCGCTCAATTTAATGGTTTTGAGTTGTATTTCCTCTTATTGACAAACTCTGGACGTCATAAAATGTTCAAAACTCAATTGAAACCACCAGCGCAGAGAGTCTAAATTTTAGCGAAAATCATTCTTAATTTCTTTTATTGAGCGTGCGCGCGAGACGTCATGGTCTTAGAACCAAAAGAGCCTTTAATATACCTCCTTGTAAGACAAATCGTTGCAAATCAAGTTTTATCTATGCGAACGCTGTATTAGTCTAAGATTYCCCGTTAATTTCATGTTTTTCAATTGTAAATAATTCATTTAACCAAGCTTTATCTAGCTTTTCGAACTTTGTAATCATGTTTAAATAGTTTTAGTAGTTTTTTTTATATTATCTTTTTCCATTGTATGTACTCATATGTAAATAATGGCGTAATTCAGCCTATGGCTGCAAGGGTTTTTATTATTAAACTATCTATCTGGTGTCAGCGCAATGTGCGCGCATGTCCTCTTATTGACACACTCTAATCAGCCAATCAGCGCGCGAGTATCTACACAAGTGTGGTAACAATTGTTTTTCATGTTTAGAGTCGATATTCCTCGTTTTACACCTTGCCTAAGCACTGTCACACTAGAAATACACAGGCCATGAAAAGTGAGAAACACTGGCGTTAAACTTGAGCAGTTACATTGATTCGTTGAATTTAGGCTACAAGCGTTACACGTAAATGTCTGTGTTTTCTGAAACGTCTGACATACAACAATAATTCGGAATTGTTTCTGACTTCCTCAACCTCATGATCCTTTTCACTCAAAAAAAAGTTATAACAGAAATGACCTTAAATGGCAGAAAACCCCGCGTATTTTTTAATCAACATTGGTGCCACTGTAGCCTTTCTGTTTGAACTCAAACAATTTTTTGTTGTTGATGTTGTTGTTTACCATCTGATTGGTTATACAACCAATATGTCGGTCAATTTTTTGTCTTGGAATGTCAAGAAAAATTGTGGACTGATTATTTCGTTTGTTTTCCAGTTCCATGGTCGATTTTCATGTTGATGCCGACAAAGGCTTCAACTTCTCCTTCGCTGACGACTCATTCGTCTGCCAAAAGAAAAATCATTTCCAGGTGAGCGAACTTCTCCGAAACAGGCAGGCAGAACTCTTGAGACTCTTCTTCACGGATCCCTGCGCCATCTTGAAAGGTAGCCGTGCTCTAGAATCAAAGCGAGACGACCGTTGAGCGCGCAATGATAGAAGCCTTCTTTCACACCTACAGACAATTGTTTATAGCTATCTGTCATTGTACGCTCAACGGTCGTCTCACTTCGATGTAAAGGCACGGTAAACTTTCAAGATGCCGCAGGGAACCGTCAATCAGTTTATTGTATGCATTGTCTTACCATCTTGTACAGTTCCAAGCGACATCTTGAAAAGTAGCCAAGCCTCTGCATCAATGCGAGACAGAAGTTGAGCTTGCAATGATAGATACTTGTGAATAATTGTTTTTGGTGTGAACAAAAGGTATCTATCACTGCAGGCCCAACTCCTGTCTCGCTTTAATGCAAAGGATTGGTTACCTYGCGCTTGCATCTGTAACATGGACTTTTCCACTAAAGGATACCCCGTATCATTTCTGACTTGAATATTTTAATATCATTTTATTATTTTGTGTAGATCACTGTAAATATAAAAGCGGAATCAACTCCAAAGTACATCAAAGTCAAGGTACTTACAGTATATTGATCGTTTTCAACCATTCCCGTGAGATTCAAAAGATAAATGACCAGCGGCCATTTTGGATGAATGAACAATAGGTACTAGTGAGAAATCCTTTGTTGATGTCCCTCCAAGATGGCCGCTGTGACGTATAGTAATAACGAAGAATAGACCGGTGATAAGATACGTTTCATTACTATTCAAGGGCCATTAACTACCAGATCAATTACAACAGTTTTTATGTTTCAAAATACAAACTACATCGTAATATCAGCAAAAACTTACTCTTTATCATCCCTTTATGCTCTATTAATGGAGATATTCAGGGGCGTATCCAGGATCTTCCTTAGGGAGGGGTGCAGGGCACTCAGTAGGGGGTGTACCCCACAAAAATCATTACCATGAAGATACAAAATAAGGAAAGTATTGAAGGGTACTGATCTGGGGGGGTTGCGCAACCCCTGCACCCAGCAACTGGATCCACCCCTGATATCAAAGTATTCGAACTCACGTCATGTTTGATATATATAAGAAATTTTAGCCACGGCGACCGCACTAAATCCGAATACCGGTCGTTTCGATCCAAAGACGTTTCGATCCAAGTTGTTTCGATCCATTTTTAGGACGTTTCGATCCATTGTTAGGACGTTAGTGTTAGCGTCCTTGACGACCAAACAATAACAATCGTATAATAATGACAAAACAATTCATTATCAATCGAAAAACGCCACTTTCAAGACTCTTTCTCTCGTTAAAATTGCATGCTAATTCATAGATTACAGTTAAAAACCTTCTTTTTAACATATCTGTAATAATACTTATGTATTTTGAGTTGTTATATAAGTGGATCGAAACGTCCTAACAGTGGATCGAAACGTCCTAAAAATGGATCGAAACGTCTTTGGATCGAAACGACCGGATACCCTAAATCCCGGTGGGTGATGGCGCTTCGATAACAAAGTTGGCCATTGAGAAAGAGATACAAACTCTAGATAGCAAATCAATTGATTATGAATCTGTCATTAATGATTTTTTGCTTTCTATAGGATAATTTCAAACCTATCGATAAATTCAAGATTCATCTGTTCGGAGTAAAGGTAACTAAAGTAAAATAAAATCATTTATCTCGTGAAACACAATTTTAATTTGAAAGTTTGATAGCCAAATAGACACAAAAGAAAAACAGTGCGTTTAACCCTAACGTGACGTCTCTTGATTCATTGTCTTTTAGGTCGAGTCGATCAACTCCACGATTAAAATTGAACAGTCTCAGGCAGACCGAAGCAAACGACCCTACGAACCTGTAACGTAAGTTTTCGTTGAACATCGCGCGTATCCCGCAAAAAGTTGTTTTGTCTTTCTTTTTGATGCTCAATTTTGTGTGCTGTAGCATTCCTTTTCCTGATCAAGAACCGTCGAGAATGACCATCGGACGACTACATTTCAGGTATTTTAGTTTTGTTTCTTATTGTTTTGTTGTTGTTGTTGTTCTTGTTCTTGTTCTTGTTCTTGTTGTTGTTCAAAATTGTAGAAAGTATTATAGTGTTTGAATAGAACGAGATTTGTGATTGGGTGATGAGAGTGTTTCATTTGCCTATCAGGACCTCGCTAATATCCCCGTCCGCCACGCAAGTCGCCATTATTCTATTTTCCCGCCTTTTTTGTCTGCTTACTGAACTATTGTTTATAAGCATACAAGGATATGTTTACGTTCAATATTCAAAAGAATCTCATTTGAGTTGGTGTAAGTAGTACATGTACAGCTTGTTTAAGCTCCTAAGATACCTCTTGAATAAAAAATAAATAAGCTATTTTGCGTTTTGCAGCGAGACAACGTCAAACAATATGAGGAAGAAAGGAAAACCGAACCCTGATCAAAGGTACATCGACTACACATGCACGTACGATGAAAATAGTTTGTTAACGTGACCATAGTTGGTATACGTACATTTAAGTTGTGAGGAAGAACTTCCAAAGGCGTCTCGATGGATTTTTGAATGACATCAGAAGAAACACCAAATGGTTGTTGATTTTAAACTTTGGGAAATCGCATATGTTTTTTTCCGAAAACTGCAGTAAATCTACAGTGTAAAAACTTTGTGCATTATGTTTGAACACTGAGATGCATCGCTATTTAACAATTAGACCTCGAGGTCGAGTGGACTACGAGCTAATAGCCCATGAGGCCGAGTCCGCGAGGCCGAATGGGCTATTAGCTCGTAGTCCACGAGGCCGAGAGGTCTAATTGTTTTAGTATAAACATACTAATCGGTCAAATAGTGAAAACAAATTGAAATATCCTTAAAATATTTTATAATTTATAATTTATTTATTTTGATTTTCCCGCGAGTGGTCTATCACAAATTAGACCATTAGTAGAGTAGCCAATCACAGCGCAGTATGAGTGATAGACCATTAGTATGTTTATACTAATA